TCCAACCTTGGCAACTTTAAGACTTGTGGACTTCAATTCCCAGAGGTCCTCAGCCAGCAAAGCAAAGCTGGCTGAGGAACTCTGGGAATTGAAGTCCACAAGTCTTAAAGTTGCCAAGGTTGGAGACCACTGCTGTAAACCACCTAGAGAAGGCCATAAAGCACTGTGGAGCAATATATAAATCTACGTTTCACGTCCCATCTCCCTTTCCACCTTAAAGCTGTGAAGGAATATATGAACCAGTATTGGCGGCTTCTTATATTATTGTACACTGTCAGAAATTAGTTGCTTTCTAGCCTAGAAAATTGTAAACTTAATACTGGATGGCACTACTTGCAAATGTTATCTCACTGCTGCGTCTAGCTTCTATGCTTGGCTTCAAAGCTAGGCACATTCTTGGAAGCTAGTAGAAGAAATTGTTACACAGGAATATCAGGCCCCATAGATAAAGGAACCAAACTAGGGAGTTTTCTGGGCTCAAAAATCCTTAAAGCATTCTGCCGAAAAACTACTTGGCAAAGGGGGGGCTGCTCCCCCCTACACAAGGCTATAGGAATACTCCATAGATAAGGAATACTATAGGAATCCTCCAAAGATAAGGGAGACAGAGACAGGAGCTTGAACAACAGAACGCTTTAAAAATCACGTTGGCAACGAATCTTTGTCTCTGATTGAATAAACTTTGTTTCTATCTGCCTAAAATGTGTATAATATTCTGAGCCGCTCTTTCAGGGTGTGGCTATTCCTTACATGCATTTGTCTGTATGTTTTGGAGATAGTTTTGTCACCCAGCTTTTGCTATGGCCCTAAATAAGAGCTGATACTTTTTGCAAGCTGGAATCTTTTAACAGCTGGATCCGCATCAGTTTGCGGCCCGCTGTCTCCCGAAGAGTTGGTAGCCGATGCTCTGTTCTGTTCTCCATCCCCAGCGAAGCCGGAAAGCTCTCCGAGCAAGGCAGCAACCCAGAGACAGCTCTCCGACATGGATTATTTGCGATCCAAAGTGGTGAAGGGCGACGGATCCTCGCCTTCGTCGGCGGAGGAGGAGAGCGAGGCCGAGGAGACGGACAGCGAGGCGTCTGATGGAGGAGGAGGAGAAGAAGAGGAGGTGGAAGAGAAGACCAACCTCAAGCCAAGTGCTGCTTCTAACACCAAGACCAAGCTGACCGGAAAGTTCAGTGTCCAGAATCTCACCGAGGACACCAAGGGTACCAAAATGACATCACAGGTGCGTCCCGAAGGATCAAACAGTTTTGAGGGTCTGTGATGCACTTCTTCATTTCTCCCGAACTTTAGATCTGGGATGGCTTACCTCTGCGGGCATGCTCTCTGTGGGCACGTCAGCTGTTGCCCAGCCCACCTCCATCTCAGATGTGGCCACGCCTTCCGCCAGTCAGCTGGTCTTTTGGGTCTCTGCCACACATGTGTAGTGGGGAGGGTGTTTTGGACCTGGACCAGTGGTGGGTTTCAAAAAAAATTGGAACCTCTTCTGTAGGTGTGGCCTACTTTCCGGGTCCACTGGTGGAACCTCTTCTAACCGGTTCGGTAGATTTGACGAACCGGTTCTACTAAACTGGTGCGAACCGGTAGGAACCCACCTCTGGGCCGGACCAACTTGGAAGCCAAAAGGGGGCGCAGGGATGCTGCTGAATGTAAGCTCCAGCGAGCCCACAGGCCCGGAGCTGCCATTCAGGTGGAGGAAGTTGTAGGAGCTGCCACGAGTTGGGCTTACCAGCTGGGGATCTCCCTCCTCCATAAGCAATCCAGCTGAGAACTCTCCATAACTCTCCATGACTTATCGCCGAGTGGTTTCCACTGAAAACACTCCATAACTGATCACTGACTGAGAACAATCCATGGCTCCTGAACCCTCCGTGTCTCGTGTTTTCACCCTCCCCAGCCCCCAGAAGGACTCTGCAGTGTGCCACCTGTCCCATTTTTGGGCTCCCAAGCCCTCCGCGCATCACATTTTTTGCCCTCCCAGGCCCCCAGAAGCAAAAATGGGCCAGGCAGAGCAATGTAGAGTGCTGCTGGGGAGGCCGGGAGGGTGAAAACGCGACACGTGGAGGCCAAAAACTTTTTTTTTCTTGTTTTTCTCCTGTAAATTTAGTTGCATCTTATAGTCTGAAAAATACGGTATATATTCAATTGTTCGGTTCAGCAGAAGGCAGTTTCTAATGCTACAGTGGTTGAAACGCTCCGGTTAGAAATAAAACACAGATTTATTTTTTTTTAGAATTTTTTTTTTCAAAACAAACACAACACATAAAATCTTCCTTCTTTACATNTGGCTCGGAGTGTGCTTGGGTGTGGAACGAGGGGGATCAGAACACTAAGCAATGGAAATTCTGGACCCAACTTGTGGGGTCATAAGTTCAGGGATACCTGTAGTTGCAGCACTATGGTCTGCTTTGCACATCTGCCCAAAGCTACGTAGGTCCCACTCAGTTCAGCAAGCAGATAGAAGAGCTGGAGTCTCCATCACTTCATGCTGGTGAAGGAGCTCTACTGTTCTGCAAACAGTATTAACGGAGCTTTGTGAAACAGATCAGTTGTAAAGCTTTTGAGGATAGAGGTTCCTTGTTACTTCTGCCATTGAGCCCATCAGAAGAGTAACACAAGTGACCGATCCTATTATTTAGGCTCATTTTTTTTCCCCTTTTTGGTGCCATTAATCTATTTGCAGCTGGACTCAAGAGACCCGCTATTTATCATTATAAAATATAAAGCCAAATGTCCCCACGCTCCTCTTTTTTTCTTTTTCTTTTCAGGAGCGCCACAGATTAACAGGTTAGAATGTTTTCCACATGTCTTGTTTTACTGTCAGGAGAATATTAAAGCCGTTTCCCAGCTTCCGTAGCTCAACCAGATGTCCCCCGATCTCATGGCGAGAGCAAAATTGGCACAGTAGCCTTCTCCTGACCCCGGGATTGTTTTATCAAGGATGACTTTAAAGGTATAAAAGGGCCATTTCTTGCTGAGATGTGTAATGTTTTTCAGCCCTTTCCCCTACAATTACCCCAAAGTGCTGACTTGGTCGAACTACTGATAGGCAGGAGTATTTTTTAGGATGCCTCTCACACTGAGCTGTAATTGCTGTTTGTGTTGGCCCCAGAAAGGGACCAAGTTTTGTTTCCAGCGTACATTTCCGGACTCTGGTTTCGGTAATATCAGCGTCGGATATGGTCCTAGGCACATATTTTATTGTGTAAACGTTTGACGGTAATTTCCTCTGTCAATCTCTACTCGGTAGCCTCTAATTATCAAAGACTTCGGATGGACAATTTCAAAAATATTTTCTAGAGCTCCACCAATTGCTTTCCTTTCGCTGACTTTTTTTTCCCCTTTCTTCTCCTTCTCCTCAGCCTGCCAAATGCATCTAAACCAGAATTCGGTCTTTGGATTAAGTTTAGATCATTTTTTGCTAGTGCGCCTGAGGTGGGATGGGCCGCCGTTCGCAGCGACTCCATATTCTTCTGCCCTGCATTAAACCGGCCTCCCTTCGCCCGACATCGCTTCCAGATGTGCTGGGATTACCCGTCACAGTATCCCCAGCCAAAATGGCTGCGAGCCATATTGCTGGGAGTTCTGGAAGGGGAGAGTCCCAAAACATCTGGAGAACTCTAGGCTGGGTGTGGGCTGCGCTAAATTATTGACACATGAGAGCGAGATGGGCTTTTGTTGTGTTCCCTCTTTTAAATGATATTTTCCTTTCGCTTTTGTACCGTGTTTTTTTGCGATGCAGTTTGCTATTATTCCATCAGTACACAAATATTGTGTCTGAAACCACAAGTTAAAACCTGGGGATTTTTTTTTTCCTGTCAAACTATAGCATCTGTTTTCCTGCTTTTGAGTGCATTTCAAAACCCCAATTACTTCAATGGGAAACGTAAAATATACTCTTTTTTACCATTTAAAAATACAGATAATTCATTAAAAAAATGTTGTTTCATATTTAGTGGACTCCCCAAATAATGTTTTTAAAAAGTTGGATATTTGTTTTTTGTACTGGCATGATATGAAATGAGGGGTTTTAGGTTTGTACAATTTGGTTTGATCCAGCCATAGCAGTGGTGGGATTCAGCCAGTTCGCACCTATCCGGGAGAGCCGGTTGTTAACTTCCCAAGCAGTTCGGAGAACCGGTTGTTGGAAGAAATCTCATTTTGTTTTTCCCCACTTTACAGGGCTAATCCTGTA